AAAATGTTTCGCACTCCATTGTGTGAGTCTGTTGGCCTTTACCTTAATATTCGTGTTATTATTTTGCTTGGCTGCTATGTTAAAGCGGCGCTGAGGCCACGTGTGCGGGCAGCATTTACGTTTGGGCCTTCCGGGCTGAATTGGAGAAGATTGTATCGATTCGAGGCGTGTAGGAGAAATGTACAGCTACAGTACCACGCGTCGGATGAGTATTTTAATTGCTTTTTAACTCCACCGTTTTCTGTGTTGCGGTACCGCCTTGTCGAAGTGCTATTTGGGAACTACCTGCCTCCAGTGGTAAATACCCCCTTTTCGACATGGCCAGACCAAACGGCGGGTTTAGCTTCCATCGCTTTGCGCTGAGGTTATAGTGATGACAATGAGGCCTGCTACACTTGTATTACTCGTGTGTGGTCGGTTGGAGTGGATTGAAATGCAGTTTTCAACAGACGATGTGAAATAAGTCCGTCATGACGGGTGTTGTAGGACCCAGGGTCGTCTGGACTGGATCTTTGGTGAGGCTAGGTTTCAACAGGAACATCTAGATCCATTTCCTGGGCTGAGCGTCAAATGTGGATGATTCATATCCTTCAACAGCTTCTGAAACAGTTTTTTAAATTCTCGAAAGCACGGTGCATATCCCCCCTTTTCGAAAGCAGCGCATCAGAATCGCTACAGTAGGCCTAGAGCCTGACAAGTGAACACGTGTAAGCGTATTCCAGTTGTCTGAAGTTTTTGCACCTGTAGGTATATGCCCTCTTTTTAAATAAAAGGCATGTGCTGCCTTTAGAATAACTGTCTAGTCTGTACTGTGCCCTAAAGCTCATTTATGTGATTGTGTGACGTTATGTGCTCTTGCACCTTTTCAGTTTGCCTGCTGTCCAGCTGAAGAGCAGAATGCCTTCCTGCGAGGCCTGCTGGGAGTGTCTCCTGCAGCAGGCTGCCTGGGGGCTTTGTGTGGGAGCGAGCTGTTCAGTGACAGGTAATACATGCTGCTTCACCTGGCGTCTTGCTGGGCCCTGGCACCACACTAGTCCGTGTCTAGACACAGTGGGCATGGGCAGCTGTGGTGCAGAGATCAAACCTTCCTCCTGCAACCCACTGTTGCTCCCACCCAGCTCCAGTGTTACTGATGAGGACGGACATCTGACTTCCCCCTTGGGGTGTTATTTTTCTGTTAACTCTACGTTAAGTTCCACGGGTTACTGGCTGTCTGGGGGATTAAAATCATGCTTTTTCTCAGGCTGAGGTCATGCAACCAGCTCTGACTGCCACAGAAGGGGGCAGAGAGCTGCCAGGGGTCAGTCATTCAGGGTTCCTTGTGGCAGAAGGGGCATTCCTGTTGCCCTTGTTGGGCAGTCCTCTTGCAGTGCGAGGTGTGGGAGTCGTGCAGTTCCCCCTGTCGGAGCTGACCCCCCCTGTAAAACAGTGTGGCCTGTCAGAAGGGGATATCAGGGCACATGTCTCCGGGTCCCCCTGTTCTCTTGTAAGCCATGTCCACCACAGTACTGAATGACCTTCCAATGCTGTTTCTCTTCCAGGGCAAAGATGAGCGGAAGAGAGGAAGTCTTGGCACTCTGCAGCTCCAGGTTTGGCAACTTTCTTCAGATTATCCGCAAAGCTTCCGTTACAGTAGCGTATTAGTGTGTTTACCCTCATGGAGGGCGCAGGCACATGTTGTGTAATGATGAATGGCATTATGTTCAACTGCTCTGAGAACAGAGTGAGTGACACTGAAGCCTTTCTGAACAAATCAGACTAGAGGGCGTGACCAGGCATTTCCTGCAACAAGGGAAACTCGTGATGTTGATTTTCTGGAAATGCATATGTGGCTCGTGAATCATAACATAGGATGTGTATTCCACCTTTGTGCTAGTTCAGTCTGATGACAAGATTTTCTTTCACTTGTGCTGCCTTATGCAGTTTGGATGGTACTGTTCCCTGCAGCTTGTGCTAGACGTATGTGGCAGGGGAATTGGGGTGTTGCTGCAAGCAATTATTGCTGCGGTGGCTGATGATGTAAAGTGTAGCGAAAAAACTTGCATTTTGTGCCAAAAAAGCTTATTTCCCAAAATGCATAGATGGTCTTCCTCTTGATTGTTAGCTTTCCTGCATGTAGGAAGTTTATACCACTTGTTGCTTCTCTGCCTCCACTCTTCAGGATTCTCCACTTTGAGCACTGTACAGCCATGGCCTGATGGACTGTTCCCGAAGGTAAGGTCTTCATCCACACCCAGACCCTTACCACTTTGAATTTCTAAACCTCGTGAGCTGCTGTCCGGAGCCTCCTAGGTGTGATATAGTGTTGATAGCGCCATTTACTAACCAGAAATGTTATGTTCCCAGTCCCCCTAATCGCACACTCGCCTCTCCCACATTCATGTCGGCTCCTGGCTCTCTAGCATTTGCAAACAGCCACCGAGGCCTATCCCGACAGGCTCTTGGCCATAGGGCCTGGTCGTTGGAAATGCCTCGAAGATCATACCTGCAGTTATCGCTTTACCCATGGGTCTAGTTTGGTTAGACCTGTGGGATAAAACTGCAGAACACTCCTTATTTTCACACCTGTTAAGTGAGGAATGTGGATCTTGTGTGAGGTAAGGATTTGTTAGCATCAAGTTTGGGAGTCTTCATTTCATTCTTCTTAATCTAGGTGCACCTCCCCACTGTGACCACTAGGTGGTGCTGAGGGCTACGTTAGATTTGAGAGGTGAGTAGAGTTTTTATCATTACCCTTGGGTCCCGACATTTGAAATTGATACACCTTTTATTGCTATGATCTAACATGACATTGCAGACCTTTGGCTGGAAAACAGCTTTGCAGAGCTGTAGGTGGGTTTGTAAGGACTTTGTCACTTTGGTAAAGTATTTGATCATGCTGCACTGTATGGTATCTGCACTCGGCTGTTTCCCCTAGCCGGGCTGTTCATTACGCAGTGCGAGAGGAACTCTGCATCTGGCATCGTTGGCCTCTGTGCCGCTCCTGTGCCTGTGGCCTGGTATTTCTGCAGAGACAAGCATTTCACTGGGCCCAGCCAACAACTCAAGCTTTTTTTTTAGCCTGTGTAGGAATGTGATAAAGCCAGCGTTTAAACTGATCGAGTGGAAATTGATTTACCATTTTGTGTCTTCAGAACATGCATGCCAGAGCTGGGAAGAATCTTCAGGGTTAAAAACGGGTGGCCAGCACAGCATGACAGGTGGGTATCAAGGTTTGGGTGCACAGGAACCCTAACAGGGTATGGAACTGCAATTTTTGACTGGTGTTCTATAATTAGAGGGGATCCCCTTTATAAGTTTCCTGGATACATTTCCCGGTACTAGTGTCATTGAGATATTAAATCCCCCCACACTTGAGTTTTGATTTGGTGGCTTTGGTTCAGAAAACGCCATCCATCTCAAGTTTTGCATGGCTGGTGGTGAATGTAAGCATCGGCTTAGAGCCCGTTTTATCTTGGCGTCAGGGCAGGAATGGTTTTGAAGCGTAGTGTGGGTGCCGAGTACAAGAGGAAGTGCTGTGGCCTTATCAGTCGGGCACAACTCGCACCCTTCTCAAGGTAAGATTATATAAGCTTGTGTCTGGTTGAGATAAGTTTAAAATGTCTCTTGGGGTTAGTAAGTCGAGATAAGGGTCGGTGACAGATTTGAATAAAAATGGTGTAAAATGACAGGGGTACATGTATTTGTGCAGCTTTGGGTAATACCCACTAAGTCCAACTCATGGTCCCCTTCCCTACTCTTGTGGGGAAAGCCACTCCACGTTATAAGTCACGTGGGGCTCAATTTATGCTCTTTATAGTCCCCAACCCCCCATGTTTGCATTGTTTTTACAGGGAGAAACTCTCCTATATATGTTGTGACCTTGTAATCCCTAACCCAACCCCAATTTATGCAGGGACTCCTTAAACAGATTTTCTGTAGTCCTGTAATTCATCTATTAAAAGGTAATTGATTCAGTAGACATCTGAAAGTAACTTTTGGATGATTACAATGGGAATTTTGTGTTGCATTGAATTTTGCACTATACATTTGGTTTAATGTAAAAACAATAGATGGGAGGCAGTTAGGTACTGTGCCTTGTGCCCATTGCCTACTGGGGTAGGCTCCTGCGACCCTGCATTGGTGAAAAGTAAGGGAACGAAGAGTTTGACATGAGCATGTGATTTAGTCTACAACTGTACTGAAGCCGTAAACTCTTCAAGTATTAAAAGCTGTAAGTTTATAACTGGGTTATAAAGGCTCATGCAGTAGGACACCCTAAAGCTCTTTGTTTCACATGGCTTCTATGAAGTGTGACTTCAAGGACGTCCCTGGATGGTGTATTATTCCCAGAGGTCCCACTCTAGGCAGGCAACCATTCAGACACAAACTGGTAAATGATTAAAACGGTTTGAAGCAGGTCGTCAGCAACCAGATGTCTACACCCACACCGAGAGGTATGATTCGGGCAGCACAGTGTGGTCTGCAGTCGGCCGTTCCCCTGGCTGGGCTGTTAATTACACAGTGCGAGAGGAACTCTGCATCTGGCATCGTTGGCCTCCGTGCTGCCCCCGTGCCTGAGAGGCCTGGTATTTCTGCAGAGACAAGCTCTTAACACATGCACACACGAGCCCTGCAGGTGGGCTGGGCGATGACGGGCTTCCCGGGTATGTGAGGGCTCCAGTGGTGTGCCACATCGCTGAGGAATTCGGCAGCATTCCTTTGTGAGCTGGTCCCAGTACAGGCCTCAGTCCTGTTCGATGGGACGGGCACTGGCATGGGGTCAGATATTTGTCAGGATTGCTGCACCACCGTGTAACAGGAGCCTGTTGAAGAGGCGCAAGTTCCCAGCTGTGTGCAGATCGGCATGCTGTAGGCAGGGATTTCTCTTTCCTCTGGGATGCTCCTTGCATTTGAAGGGGTGACCCAGTGAAGTTATTTGAGATCGTTTTGTTTTCTTGCTCTTAAGGATTAATTAATCATGGTTTTTTTTTTTGCCTTTTTAGTGTTGACCCTCCAGGAATGATCTATTATCTGGGCCACCTGGGCTTGAACCAAGGATACTTGTAAGTCGACTGTCTTGCACATACAGAAAGCAGATTTAAGTTTTATCACTTTTGTTTGTGGTATCTTTGTTTGTTAGTATCCCTCCATCTTGAACTGTTGGCTTATCTGTGTGCTCTCGCTTGAGTGTTTACCTAAAGCCTCTGAGCCATGTGTGAGATGGTGCCATGTGTGAGATGGTGCTTGGTCATATACCAAGGCTGCTGGGATGTGTGGTTCCTGGTCTGCTGTGGACATGACCAGAAAGTAAATTGCCAGCTGGGTCATTCTGATGCAATATTGGTTTGATCCACTGGGAACACTCATACTGCCATTACAGTGCCCTTTAGTGACCTGGGATCTTCAGCCCTGAGCTGTTGATTTAATTGGCTAGAATTTCCACAGCATTTAAGCTGCTCAACATTGAGAGGTTGCAGTTCCCTATAAACCTGTTAGGCTACACCGAGACTAGTTGTGTGACTCTTTGCCTTGGTCTGAGAATGCCCGCTCCTGGTGCTAGCAAGCTACCATTTAGCAGATTTAATGGGTAACCTTTTAAACTATCCGTTTTCCAGCACGTGAAACAACTCTGTTTTGACTGAAGCAATTGAGTTGTTCAGTTGGATAAGGGATAACTTAAAAATAGAAATGTCAACACCCTGTTACTCTACAAGAGCCATTTGGCCATTCCTGGCTCATTTGAAACGCTTACAGTGAGAAAAGTTATCATGCATTGTAGGTGTTTAAAAACCAAAAACCGATAAAGTGGGATTCTTGTAAAAATGGACTTTGAGAGCCCTGCCTTAGATCTATACCCCTGCAACCAAAGGATACGGCTTATTATTTTCTGAAAATCGACTTGTGTTTTGCAGGGTTGTCGAGGGAAATGTGGAGGCGGTCCCTGCGGCTGAAGTGAGATCAAGACCAGGTGAGGAGTTAGTGTTCATTGAGGGTCATTTTCAAAGGGGGTCAGCGAGGCCTTCCGTGCAGCGACCCTTCACGCAGTGACCCCACAGCACTGTCCCTGGGAGACTGACGCGGGCTCCATCATGCACTGGGAGCTCTGCTCTAGCTCTAAGGCAACAATCTCCCCGATTTCACTTTGTCCAGATCCAGTGTGCTGTGCATCTTGTTTTTCACATTTCTATTGTGGGAAAAAGTTATAGTCAAGCTATGAATCAGAATCATTTCCATATCTTTTGCTTCCTAAGGTATGAAAATGTTGGCAGAATCAAATTAACTAGACGAGAACATCAGGATCTCTGTGCCTTTGCAATAGTTTTCAGTTTCTGAACTGCTAATAATGGGATTTAAAACTGCTGAAGTATTGTGCGTTTTGCTTAATACACGCTGTTTGTCTTTTAGCAGATTTTTGATGGCTGGCAAACATCTCTTTTGGTGTTCAGAGGAACATCCTGCTCCAGTCCAAGAGCATCAGGGTTTTTTCGGCATTGGGAAGGGACAGCGGTGTACAGAGTGACACGCTTGTTGCAGAATACCTTGCTTTCCTTTACAGTTACACCATTTCAGATCTTTGTGTATGTAACTGACCATGGCTGGATTTCTTTTAGATCCTTGTTTTCATTTGTCTAGTTATTGAAAGGAATGTCTAATAAAGTTGTTGTTCTTAATAGTGTTGTATTGATTAGTGTCAAATTCCCATGACGGCGCACAATCCAAACGGAGGTAATTGTAATTCTCTGGGCTTTTATCTATTGAACTATTGTACTCATGTACAAACATGTAAAAATGTTTGGACCCATGGCTAAGAAATTATTAACCCCATCTTAATTTGCAGATGGAACACTTTCATCAATTTAGAAGAATAATAATGTTGCTCACACTTAAATAGCACTTTTCTGGACACATCACTCAAAGTGCTTAACAGGTAATGGGGACTCCCCTCCACCACCACCAATGTGCAGCATAGCTCTTCCATTTACTGGGATGCCTTTTTCTCTCTTGTATCCCACCCGTCCGGTTCAGGAGCCTTTTTTTCTCTTCAGTGATCATATCTGTGCTGCCTAGAAAGAATGATCTACATTTGAAGCCATGTTTCTTCCATTTCTCCATTAACAATTGTTACGAAAACATCTGTAGGCTGGGAGTGACAGTTATGGCGCTTTCACATTTTCCCTGAAGGAAGATTTGGTGGTGTAACTCTGGTATTGAGATGCACAGAAGGGAGTATTGATGTAAGAAGTAAAGAGCTCTTGTATCCTAAAGAACTGTCCCACATTTTCCTTGACCGAATTAGTAAATGCCCTGCTGTAAAAACGGGTATCCTTTCAGTTTTAACGTAAATGAGAATTCTGAATTGTTTTTGACTGCCTCCACATTAGGGGCAGAGTTTCTGTTCTGAACTAATAATGGGTTCTGTCTGAATTTCTACTTCAGATATTCCTCACTTAATTGAGCTAACAGTTGGAAGTCGTTGCCAAATGACTGTTCTTGGTCTTCAGCAGCTGCTACCTGTAACGGCAGCAGGAGTTGAGCTCTCTGGGGGCTGTGGCTGCCTTTACCTGGCCTGATCGGTCTGATTGAAAAGCTTGTGGCCCGTTGGAGAGCTTCTGTCCCGGAGTGGTTGGAACTCAAGCAGTTGGGAGTTTGGTGATCGTTTTAAATTCTACTCCCCGGGCACACCCGCCACGTTTCTCCGACACAGCTGTTGAAATTACGCTGGCGCAGCTGAGGGGGGCAGCTGCTTTAAGCCTGCATGCCTGGGCTGTGCTGGGCTGCAGTGATGTGGGGACCTACAGCCTTCAGTGGAGACGGATGCCCAATTCAGGACTGATTAAACATGGGGTTGTCGCTGCTGAGTTTGCAGCAGCAGATAGGGGTGGTTAGTCCAGGACTGATTGCTCCCTCAAACTTCTACAGGCTGCAGCTGTTGAGTTGTTACTTCCCGCCTAGTTCCCCTTTCATACTGTCCAATAGCAACATAGGGTCTCATAGAGCAGGTTTAGTTTCTGTGTGTGTACTGTTTGTGTATAAGCTAGCGCATTCCTAGCTAGCTGAGGAATACTTGGACGATGGAGGTTTCAAGTGGACCGCATAGTGATGTGACATGATTGAGCGTTAAAATGGAGGAGAGAAATGGATCACAGCTGCCTTTCTGTCAACTGGTTCAAGAGGAGGAGGAGGGAGGGCTGTTCTGTGGAGGACGGTGTCGTCGTATGCAGGTCATGAGAACGGGATTATGAAGATCCACCCCCGTGCCCCCGTTCTGAGCGCAGAGCCAATGTGCTTCAGTCAGGTACTGTGAGACTGGCTGCCTGTCCCCAGTCATTACATCCAGCTGACTGGCCATCCCGTTGGGTCACGTCATTGCAGCCCCAGTCCTGCCGTCCCTAAACCCTCTCCAGGTTCTCATTTCAGCTCCGCTCTCAAGTCACTTGGCTAAAACAGTCATTTGCTTAATTAGACCACTGTTGTTGTCTAGCCCTGAAACAATTTCCGGTTTAAAATATCCCAAGGGAGTCAATTTCTCTTGAAATTCTGCAACTGTGGGTAGAATTGGTAATTTAATCCAACGGCTCGTACTAGAAAATTGATTAGCCCCAAGGGTGGAATGATGCATTTAAGAGCTCGGTCTGAATTGGAAGATTTCATTAGGATATGGGGTACATACAGGGAGGGGCATCCCAAGTCCTGAACCTCAAGGGTCCTTGTAACTCATTAAGATCTAAAGGGTGGAGGGGGTGGGGATATCACTTTTTATTGTACCACAGTAGGTAGGGTTACCAACAGGAGGAGGCTAATAGGCCTGTCCTTCCAACTTGGTAGTTTGAATCTGGAGTTTAGGGCTTAGCCACCTGGCTGCAAGGCCACAGCTCTTGATGTAAAGAGCTTTGCATTTCCTAGACTTTTTTGTTTCAAGTTGTGGCTCCGTGTCCATGCCTGAAACAGCCTCCTGGGCTTTTAGTTCCCTTTGTTCTGGACTGAAGGGAACAAAAGGCCATTGAAGGGCCCTGCCAGTCCGTTGTGAAGTGTTTCGGAGGGCGAGTGCCACGGGAGAGCCCGTAACGTACCCCAGACCAGCCAGGGAGGTGTTAATCTGTGACGCCTGCTCTGCAACGGCATCGGCAGCAGTGCTAATCCCGAGAGGGCGGGAGGCTGGTTATCGCAAGATGCCACACCAGCAAAGCAGGGGGACTCTTTTGAAGCAGACTTGTTTCAAGAGCGGCTCTGTCATTTGGAAAACCCCGAAATCAGATGCCTGTTCCAAGTGCTGTAGCAAACGATTAGCAGAAGTCATGTAGTTGAGAGAGTTTCAAATCAATCTCCTTACTTGTGTCATCCCAGCCTAGCTTTTTAAAAAAACTTTATTTTGTATTTTTATTTAAACACAGAATCTGTTGTTGACAACAAAGAAAAAAGAGGCTTTGCACTCTTTTTAAGTCATTTGAAACTTCATGTATTGTCTACAGCCTTCAGCGCTGTCTTTGTTACATAATAGTTTCAAATAATCAGATTCATAAAAAAGAGTCAGATGTACAGATGAAATTGAAATGGCCTTTTGAATTTACTAGTGAAGTTGAATCACTGAAATTCAACTTCAACGGGAAAATGAACAGGCTGAATCTGGATGGAGAGAGTAAAAGAATAATTGAATAAGGACATAATCTGGTTACATGATTTTGATTTTGTCTGAGTAATTGACTACACTCTCCTAAAGTAGTTGAAAAGCAGGGTCAGACTTGTTTTTGTTTGTCTGGCATTAGCATTTGACCATTTCAGGTTTACCTGACATTTCTCTGAGGATAAACTCAAGATTACACTTCTAGGTGTTGACGTTACCTGCTCCCGTTGGCCACTGATCAAGAACAGCCAAGCGCCCCCTGCTGGGAAGTGCCAAGACTGCACCAAGAGGTGAAAGAGCGTCGCACTTCATACTCTCAAAACATGATAAAAGATCCTTGGAATTTGTTTTGTCTTGAACTGAGAAGGTCAAATGGAATTATAACAGAGCTATAACAGAAATTCGGGAGGAAGGGCGGATCCTAATCTTGCACACTTCTGCTCGTCTCGCACTCTGGCGGCCCACTCCCAGCACCCCTGCAGCAGCTTCCTGGCTCACTCTTCGCAATGCAGAGAGGAGGTCTGGTTCGGTTCCTAGTTCAATTCCCCCAGCCTGTCAAGCTTCGCCAAATACACTGCATATTTCATCTCTCTCTCGCCGGACTAACTGCACTGATGAAGTTGGGATTGGTGTCGACTCAAAATCCTGAGAGGCACTGCGAATGTTAACTTCAAGGGCCACTACAGGCTCACCAATTAATCAGAAAATGGTTAAAAGTGGAAATTAAATAGTCTTTAAAGTCTTGATGAGCAATATTTTACCAGCAACCAAGCAAATGATGTGTGTCAAATTCTCTCTTCTCATTTACAGTTCTATCTGTTATCGTTCAGCCAGCCAGCACAGACAGTACCACAGACAGACCAGGTGCTCTCTTTTCTGCTTTCTTGCCTGTGCCATGTGACGTCGGAAGCCTAGTTCAAGAGATTAAAGACAAACCTAGAGGGTCAAATTGTGTCAGATCACTGTCAGACATTCCATCGTATACTGGGGAAATAATGAGTAGTTCTAGATTTATTTTTGAGAGAAACAAAGAAACAGACCAAATAAATTAACTTCTCGTGACAGCTTTAAACTTATACCCTGGCCTCCATTCTGAAATATTTTTCCATCAGAGGGGTGAACTAAGCTACTTGGCCTGCGCAGGCAGAGGGCCATAGGACCATCAAATCAGAAAGCTCTGAAGCTGAAACTTCTAGGAATCTCTTGTGTCCTCTTAGCAGACCCTGAGTTCCACGAATCACACTTCCCGGAATATATTTCTGGAATACGGGCCACATGACATGGATTAAATGGATTTTTAATGGGCCCTCTCCTCTCCCTCCCATCTCACAGACACCTCCGTCTTGCTTTTTTTCTTTACTACTTCTTTTAAGAAAAAAAAGATGTGTGTGTTAATTTCTGAAAATTAGAGTATTAGCCATAAACATATCTTTTTCTTTGTCTTTTATATATTGTAACTCCTGAAAGAGACAGAGGACATGAAGAAGAAGGTGCTTTATACAAAGGGCAAATGGGCCAGGTGGCACAACACACTTGTGCCCATTGAGGGCAACAAGCTCTGAGATTTTCTGTTTTTGTTAGAGACGTAATGATCACAAAGTTTTCCACGTGGACAGAGAGGAAACTCAAGAAAATTGTGCAAGATGCATTTAATATTTATCAGAAGTAAGAAATACCATAACACAAGAAAATGTAATACAGCCTGGTCCTCCAAGCTGGAGCTTATTTGAGGCTCCGTGTCAAAAACATTCCACAGATGATTATACCTCCCAAATATCCGAGGTCTTGGACATGTAGAACCTTGAAGGCAAAGGTGATCAGATCTCTGAAACTGTGAGGGGCAGAATCTGCCACTGTGAGGATGATATTGGATATTGGAATGGATATGCTCGCATGAAGTCAGTGGCATCTGCTCGTGCAACACAAGGAAGAGCTAGGATCTTGTCTGGGAGACCCTTTATAGACTTTCCGGCACCCCTTAGTGTGAATGTGACCCAGTGCTGATGGGTTCATTTAACTGGTTACCTCCGTTGCAATACGGATTATGCTTTATAACATTCCTGTGTGTGTGGAGGTTGAGGAAGAGGGTAAACACAGGTGTTGGGAGTCTCTCTTCCATTAATTACAATGTGACCATGTGACTGGCAGTCCTTGGTGGGGCCCATGTCAATCAGCAGCTTCCCCACGTTACCCCAGTATGAAGTGCTATTGGGGTATCAGTTTGACGGATGTTCCTCATCCCTCTGAATCTGCCAATCCCATTCCATACTAATGCACAGGTAAGCAATAGGGAAGAGGTGCCCCTGACTCACCTGTGGATCTTAAGAACCCCATGATGTCAAGCAAACATTTGGTGCAATGACTGAATCCCAATCGATTCTGACCCTTTGTACTTGAAAATCATTATGGGAATTAAAGTGGAATATAAACATAAAATGTGTAGATGGATACAAATGCATGGGACTGTATTATTCTAATCCAAAGATTTGGATACCTAGAATTCTCACCACACACAGGCAGATGGCAGACCTCAGTTTTCAAAAGGCATCTACTGCACAGCCTCTGGCCCATCAGAGCCCCCTCTGGTGCAAGCTCCTTTTCTGATAACCCCACCACCACCAAGAAAGCTCCCTGTGCTCCTGCCAATTGCCTGCTGATGTTATCAACAAGGAGACAAAAGTCTACTTGTTATTTTATGGCTCTGCACAGTGAGAGCCCTGGTAACCCCCAGCGATTGCTTGTAAATAATTAAACCACCTTCTGCTCTGTTGCAAAACTGATGCGTGCCCAATGCACCTAGACTGAGAGAAGAGAATATGGAAATGCACAGCGACAGTGACGCATCCTGGCCAGAACATCACGTACTGTACTTAGAAAGTCCCTGAAATACAAGTAAAAGAAAAGTATTAATAAAGAAGACAGTGTTCGAATCCGTTTTCATAGTGCAGTGTGAGATTACGGTAGCCATGAATTGGAAATGGACAAGTTCAGTAAAGAGCCCTGCCACGTGAAAAGTGAATCTGTCCCCAGCTGACAAACAAGTAAATAATGGAGTATTCTGAGTTTCCCATGGTGCTTTGATGGCTGTTGTTTGAGCATAGTTTAGCCACCACCTGGTAGTGGAGAAGGTCTTATTCACAGGAGGCTCCCAGTGCAAAGTCCAGCTCTCCCACCAAACCAGATCCCTTAAAAAGCCAGTGCTGCCCTGTGCTGTGCCTGCAGGTGAGGTGTCAAGTCCTGTTGTCAGTGACCCTGCTTCAGTAGAAGGTAATGCCATGGCTAACTCACAACAGCAGCTGGCGGTTCAAACATTGCCAAACCAAGTCACTGTGATATTACAGGGCGCAAGCGTGTCTGTTAAACTACCTGAACAGAAACAAGCCACAGCAGGGATGGCATCACAAAATCTCACCCGGGAGTCTTGGCACACTTTCATATAACCTCGTGTTTCGTAAAGATTCGTGCTGTAGCCTTTTCACCGACCAAGGATCTGAAAGAGAAGGATACTGCAGTGCCTGATGGCTTTCATAGTACAGCCCTCAGTTTTCCACTTGAGGTCTAAAACTCCCACCCAGAAATTCTTGCAGAGATTTAGCCACGGCGGTCAAAGGTCAGGCACTAGGGGATTAGACGAATGTGCTCAACCTCCACTGCCCTGTGCTTGGCAGATGTTTTTCAAAGCCACAATTTGTCCATCTCCACCCTGTAACCTCACGCCCACCCCACCCCCCCTCCGTTCTGTGTTGCCTGGCTGCTGTATCGCGTTGTCAGCTCTTCGTTGATCGAACAGGTGTGAAGGACTTTGCTCCTGAATTAGTAATACAGCACAGGCTGGCCTGTCAGGAAATCCAGAATCAAGGTGGACACTGCTGCTTTTGCCAGCATCTGGGCCATCGGTAGGATGGTTTCTGTTCTCTGATTCGCTGCTGAGCTCTGTAACCACAGAGAGATGATGAGAGCACCTGATGGCAGGTTTTCAAAGCGATTCGCTTGGCACCAGTACAGTTCCAACTAAAGTCGACCTTCAGCAAACGGGATTTGTTTAGGAAACAGAGCATCATGGAAGTTTGCTCATCCAAACTCAGATGGTGCATATCAGACTTCTTTGCTTTTCCCTTTGCTAACCCAAGTAATTCTCAGGAATGAATCCTTTTCTGTCAGAGCTGCATTGCTGTTGTTGTTTCCAGACATTTGTTGAGTGTTTTCCAGATGGATTAACCATTTATGTTGGTAACCTGCATTGCGTTTGCACAGAACAGATAACGTGGGGGGAGTTAACTTGCCATTCTCGAGTGTCCACACAATCTGTTTGCTGATGACATAGTTCCCCGGGGCAGTAGCAGTCCAGACCAGTCCAGTCTTGACGGTCCTAGAGGAGTGCGTGGGGCTCTGGGCTCATGCGAGTCTCTGCTGCAGATGGTGCTCTAGGATCCTCGAGCCCGGTACTGTGCTCACGTTGCTCCATTGTGGCCGTACCAGTGTCACTGGGGTTAAGTCTGCAATGGATTAGCATGCATTCCTGGGGGGTGCTGTGGACACTCAGTCCAGTTAAAACTATAGGGAACAGAGACACTCTCTGGCCAGCCGAGCCTCTGGAACTCAAGTACAGACCTTTCTCTACTGTTATTGAGGAACAATTCCGTTACATCTGAGGAATGCGATTAGAATTCTGAAATACTAAGCGTAACCTGTTTAAGAAGAAAGTCTAAAACATTGTAAATCTGCTGAGGGTGTTGTGCAGCAGCACAGGCACATGGTTAAACAGGGCACAGTGACCCGTCTCAATTCGGTCTCCTCAGGTGCCTTGCAGAGTGAAACAATTTCATTACAAGAAAGAGTACTTATAATTTCAGAAAAATAATTCTACTCATCGTGGGAGCCAATAGGTACTTTGTATTTCCACTGTAACTTAGTGCACCAACGCATTAGTGGCCAATTTAGAGCATTTTACCTTCCCCTGCCCTCCTGGTGGTTGTGCCTGCCAGTTGTCTTCACTCCTCCATCGCTGAAGACCCCGGAATTAAAAACTGTACTAAGCCAATAATTCTGACGAGTTAAGCGAGGGGGAGCACAGAGCTGTTGGCTGGCAAGAGGGAAACTGAGGAGGCAGGTCGTGACCCGGCTGACTGACAGGGGTGAACAGGCTGCCATTTCCGAGCCCCAATTTAAAAGGGGGCAGAAGGATTTCCGAGCTGATCGGATCTTTTACGGATGCGCACGGCGGCCTGAGTTCTTTCTTTCATGGTCTCGGCGGTATCGGTATCGGTAAGTAAAGTGTTTTGCCACACCAGACCAGAAAAGCTCTGAATTTCAAAGAATGGAAGTTTGATGGCTCCATAAAGCTATGAAACGATGACGCTCAAGTGAACCAGTAATATGTTGGCTGAGATCCTTTCTGTTGTTGTTGTTATCTATTGGGGTCCAATATGTAAAACACTGTTTTGTGGACTAAGGTCTTTGCGCTTGAGCAATCATCCACACCTGTTTTAATCATCGCGAATGATAAAGAAAACAACACGGGTGGCGTCTTAACAACATGCGCACGGCCTCGGCCAAGCCCACGTTTGTGAACCTCTGACACTGCCCTGCAAGGCAGCCTGGCACTCCCGCCAAGACGCCAATTTAACAAGACATCTCAAAACGGAGCTAAGCCTTCCGACTGACAGTGCGCATATTTGCGTTATCAATCCGCTTTGCGTTTCCACACACACACACACAACAGTCACAACAACCATTTTTTTTCAATTCGGATGCAAGCTGCGCGTGTTTATGGTAGGGTCTGGGAGACAACGAGCGGGGCAGATCAAATCTGATGCACTTGATCGGATTGCAGTGGATGAAGACAGCGCTGCGGCAGCGTCCGTCCCGTTTTTCATGGAACGCCGCGAAAACTACAACTCCCGGCATGCCCCCGGGCATGAGGCCACGGCGGGGCCCCGCCCCCCCCGGTCTTGAGTGGCAAGTTGTTTGTTTCAGCAGCTGGGTTATTCCGAGCTCCGCCGGAGAGAGTGAAGACGGGCACCGTCAGTCCGTCTCTCTCGTTTTTCTCCCCTCTTTCCCCCGTTTGTATCTCATTCTGCTTTCTTTTATTTCTCTCCGCTCCATTCTCTCCCCCTTTTCTGGAAACGGACAACTTTTTTTTTTCCCTCTTTCTTTTCATTTCCAGGCTGCACCGTCACAAGGTTGTTTTTTTGGGGAGGGGGGCGGGCGGTATTATTTTTTTTTTTTTAGTGTTGCTTTTTTTAAATTTCTGTTCAAGAAAAGGGGCTCCTGGTTTTGCAGCGGCGTTTGCGAGTGGTGTTTTCCTGGGGGAGAGGGAAAGAAACGCTAAGAAGACCGTTCCTGATTTTTTTTTGCCTCCCAGATGATCCACAAATAAGACAGAAAAGATGGAGTTGCATATTTTGGAGCACAGTCTGAAAGTAGCGAGCATAGCAAAAGAAGGCATTCAGCTCTGCACGTACGGACTGATCAAACTCGCCTTTTTGCCTTCTAAAACTAGGTAAGTGTGTACAAAGCTGTCCGCAGTAATTAAATACATCACCGATGGGGTCATATCCCCGCTATGGCAAACTACAGAGCAATCGCCTCTCTTTTCGGAAATTAAAAAAAAAAAACAATGCTCAAGGCGTGCAGCCACTATTATAGACTGACCTATAGCTGCTTTTTTTTTAATTCCCACAAAGTTCTTTATGTAATTCCGCCGATTCGTGCGGTCTGTAAAAACGCAGAGAATGGGAGCTCCCCAAAAGTGCAGCCCTTTCTCCTCTCCTCGTCGTTTCCCTGCCTTTATGGAGAGAAAATGTCATTTGAAATATTACCTTCCTGCGTTCGCATTGGGGCTTTTTTTAAAATGAGGGGTGGAGGGGGGTGGACGTGCTGTAGCTGACAGTCGTGATGTTGTTGTTGTTGTGGTGGTGGTGGTGGTGGTGTTTTTTTGTGCTTTTCCTTGTGTGCGACCCTGGAAAGGCTTGGGCAGGAATGAGGGGCAGTTTGAACCTGCACTGCCGCTGCGCGTCTGCGGAGCCGCTCGCCGAGAAGTGACGCTCGAGTTGCACATCGGGGGTGCAGGGTTGGGGGGGGTCTGTGGGGTCTCCGTCCTGCGCAGCACCGAACCGGGTCGGGGGGTTCGGGTCGTGTCGCGAATGGGTCAGGCAGCCCCACGCCTCCCTCTCCTCCCTCCTCGCCTTCCACCCCCCCACCTCCTATTTTCTGACTTTGCAAAAACTTTTCATTATCTGGTTGTTTCACACACAGCTGGGGGGGGGGGGCTCTTTTCCCCGAGGAAGACCAGCTGATTCCGCGCTTGTTCTCCAAGAACAACCAGTAAAATTACAGAGAAAATGACATAAACGAAGCCTCTTTATGATGCCTGGACTTGTAAAAATCTCTGTAGCGTCTCGTTGGCTCCGGTGGCGGTGCTGACCAGAGAGAGCCGCCCGTGATTGATGCGGTTCAGTAGAACAGTTCACGTTTTACAGACTCCGCTTCATTTCCGACTCCTGCCTTGGAAGCCCACGACGTCTGTGCTCATTAAGTTTCTGTTTCCTTTTTATATAGAGTAGCCAGATCACCTCGACAGTGATGTTTGGTTTTTATGGAGGAGAGAGCGGGTGTAGGAAGCACTCGGATCCATTTCTGCTCACCTCTGCTTGAGGAGTGTGATGGGTGAAGAAGACAGCCCTGTGATGAGTAAACGAAATGCCCTGGAGGCAGAGTCTGCCCTGCCTTTTGCAGTGTTGCCCTACAGTCAGTGTGTAGCCCAGGCCCACCATCTTGGTGAAGGTGCTGATTGTTCTGGAACACTCATCCCTGTGACCTTTGACCCACGACGCTGAGCTCCAGTGTGGCGGCAGGGTGAGATAGTGATGTTCAGTTGGCTGATAAGCAGAGATGTTTTGAGGTTGGTTTGTGTAGAAGTGTTGATCGGGCCCAAGGCCTTGTGAGCTCTTTCACGCAGTTCACAGTTTAGCTTCCTGTTTGTAGCCCAAGGAAAACATCAAAGCCGTCAGCCCAGTGACGGAGCAGGAAAGGCCGAGAGCACTCGCAGGACTAGGTGATAACCGTGCCACCTCTCTCGCAAACCCGGGCGGGTTTTTTGGGAGCTGTGGCTGAGGTTTACAGCCTGGGCTGACCGCTGCGCTTGTGGGTCTCACGCCTGCCGGCTGCCTCCTGGCTTTTTCCTCCAGGAGGAAATGGCAGACTCGGAGAACGGGCCCCAGAGCTGCCCAGTAACCCTCACGTGGGAACGCACCGCTCCGACATCGCAGGGGTGTTGTTGGGGCATAATACCAGGCACAGAGCGGAGCAGGCACAAACACTGGAAAACTGGACCTGGAGTGAGTGTGTGTCTGCTCTGAGATGGACTGGCGTTGCATCCAGGGCGTATCCTGCCTTGCCCCAGTGCTTGTCGAGATAGGCTCCAGCTCCCCCGCAGCCCTGAATTGGATAAAGCGGAGAGAAAACGATTGAACGGAAACTTCAGCGGAGATCCAGTCCCCTTGTCAGTTGGGTCTTGCTGACAGAGAACAAGACACATTGCTTTCTGTAGCTGGGCAGAGGTGTTAGACTGTATACAAGTTGTGGAACCAGCAATTCAAAGAAACATTTGCTGCTATTTGAGACTGATGATTTTCCAATTTTTGTGTAGTTTAACCAAATAGGTTTTTCATTTTGTTGGTTTTGTTGTTGCTGGTGTTTTCCATTCCAAGGCACTCTGTTTGAACAAAGGGGGGTCTTTTTCGAGTGCCAGTGCTAAATTAGGGGATTATTAACGCAGCACTTGGACTGTTTCAAGTCTCCTGGGATTGTAGCTCATTTTAGCACCCACCGTTGGGCACCTGAGGTAGAAACCAAGGAGTCTTGTCTCCCAGCTCCAGCAGGATGTAGAAACTGGCATTTTTGATCGGACCTTGTCTGTGGTTTAAATGCATGTGGTACTATACAAGTTGATGATAATACAATTTATGTACTGCTGAATATAACTTTTCCACATTTCTTTGAATTGTTTACAGTGCTAGATACAGGTTTTCTTCATTTTTTTCTTTGTTTTCTTAAACATTGGGGAAAAAACGCTAATATCCTCTCTTTTTACCAGTAGCGGGATGATTTCTTACAGGAAAGATCTGTCCCGGTCCCAAAGATCGAGTGGTTCTGGTGGTTTGGGTTCCAGCTCAGCTCTTAAAAACCTAAATTGGACTGTTATTAAAGTCACTTATAATTAGAAATTGCCCCGTGTCTCAGAGGTTCCATTGTAAGATAAGAAAACTTTACTGTCCCCTAGGGACACTTTTGTTTTGGACAAGCAGCCCTTCTATACATCTGAATACATCACAAAACATTACATATCACATCTGTTACACAGGCATAATTTGTTACAAAATAGTCATGACATATAGCACATACATAGTGTATTACAGCATATTTGGCTTGTACTGACACAATTGCGTTTACCATTGCTATTTATTTTAATTTCGTTAAGAGATACACAAATACTCATTTTCTTCTTTATGTTTGATCTATCGGGCACAGTTTGATTTTTGAGCACTCAGCAAATCACATCTAGAAAAGCAGGTGGTTTCTTTTAATATGGTGGCACACGTATGCGTCAGGCATCTCACCTGGGCATTAAAGTATTTTCCCCATCCCGACAGACCAATCTGTTCTTTCTTTTGTTGTTTTTCTCAAGGATTACCTTTATGACTTCAGCATTTCAGAAGGGTTGCATAACTGGTTTGTAGCGAGAGAGAAGGTTTATTGTTTTCAGCAAATACCGCCACATGCTGTTGGCGGAGTGCTGACCTGTACTGCCCCAGTAGCTGCCTGCGAAGTGTCTCGCGGTGGTGTAGAATGCACACAAGGGGAAAACTTCTGAGCACGGGGGGGTGGCCCTGGAAAGTCTATTAGAATATAATCGCACAGCGATCTGGTTTTTTCGCCTTGCACAGCCAGTGTAGAGGTGTCTGAGGAATACACTACAGGAGAAATGCAGCCATCTTCTGGAGGAGATAACTCCGGTACCTGTGGAGTTGTGCTTTTGAGGTGTATCTGTAGCTCTAGCATTTAAGAGGAGTATAAGGGAGGGATAGATTTTCTTTATAAAGTCTGAAGCGTTTTGCAACCCTTTTGAGAGAAAGAGTGATGCTTAAGACCACCTTTTTCTGCAGGCCACTGATCGGCAGTTTAGATGACGCAGGACAAGGAGGGATGTAACACTGAGCTCTTGTTAGGGCTGTATTCCTTTCCTGTAGCACGTGGAGGCTCTTTTGCAGTTTGTGCTGATGAAAACGAATATTTATGATCAGGTAAAACTTTTTCCCCAAGTCTGATCTACTGAATGCAGAGTTAAGTAATCTTAAGTGTCACACGTCCACTATGGTGTTTGCTTGCATTAAGGAGTTGGTAGCTGGTAACACCAGAAGTGGTTCAAAGTGCTGGATGGTTTTTCAGTTCTTTAAGAAGAAGCGGAAAATGGGTTGATGGATCAATTTTTCTACCAGTAACGAGCTTGGCAAGAGAGAGCCCCAGGTGAGCTCCAGCAGTCTGACAGAGGGATACGTCAAGCTCGAGTACAGCCTGCCATTGGGCAAGACGGAGCGCTCCTCACTCTTTGGATGGTGCAGCATTGACACACAGGATGTCGACAACACTCTGTGACGAACGGCTGCATTGATTTATGCAGTCCCTCTATTTCAAGCACTGCTCCATTTTCATGTTGGTTTCTCGGTTACCAAGTGCTGGTTCTGTGGACATGGTGGGCAGGGAGCATCATGACTGCTGGTTTTGTTTTTCTGCGCATTCCAGGCGCTATATTTACCTCCAGGGCAGATGGGACTTGTCTTTCACAAGTCGACGTGGGGGGGCGGGCAGTGTTGTGCAAGAAGCTGTTTTGCAATCGCCTCTTGATAAGAAAATAAAAGCGGTTCTTGTTTTTGAAGATAAATCGTGGCAGAAATTCAAGCCGGGCTGGATTAAGATGTGCTTTCTAGGGGGAACGAACAGGTAGGCGAGGTTAGAGAGCTGCCCCATCGAAATGAGAAATACTGAAATAAGTTTCTGTCCTATTTCTCTCTGCGCTGTTTTTTTGGAAGCAATGTTAATCCATGGGTGTCATTTCATGAAGCAGTTCAGGGGGTAAAGACTGATTTTGGGGTCCCCCTAAGATAAACCATTACACTGCAACTGCCTTTTTAGCAGAAATGTGTGGAAGGCATTTCAGAATTTGGGAACACGGTTAAATGGCTGAGAAGCCCTGTCTTTTGTTTTGTTCCTCCCCAAAACAAAGCACCTGATCTTAATACTGATGTACTGTGAGCTGTCAGTCCAAAAGATCCTTCAAGGTCAGTTCTAAGACTCCCAGTGCAGAGCAGTTTGGTCCAGTTGGGGCTTCACAGACTCCAGGCTCTTGTGCCCACTTTCAAGTGGTGAAGCACAGAAACTCCACAACACATCCCCCTGTGCCAGTTTTCTCAAAATAAGGAGCTTAAAGTATCCCGAGCACCCATTAACTTACCAGTTTGCCTACAGCTCGTAAACCCTGAAAAGGGTGAAAGTGCTGTGTTGTGGAGGTTTTATCAGTTTCTCGACAGGCAGTAAAAAGCTGAGCGACACTGGTCTCGCCCTGCCTCGGATCCAGGGTCCTCGCAGTCCTCCTGGTTAGTGCTGTGGACACCCGCAGGGGCAGGGGCAGGGGCAGGGGCAGGGGCAGGGACACCTGCTGGGGCAGGGGCAGGGGCGACAGCGGTGACCGCTGTCAGTGTAAAGCGGACCAGAGCAAGGGCATGTGTCACAGTGATGAATTTTCTGAGCTGTAGTTCACCTTGTACCGAGAGAGAATTGTCTGTGGGTTTTAAAAAAGAGCTGTCAGTGGCTTTCACTCTGAAATTCATGCTGGATGTGCCGTGCGCTGCTGGAGCTGCTGGCCTGTGGCTCTACTCCAGTGCGTATTCACAGAGTGTTTGTTTTGTTGCCGTGCAGCAGCGCAGGATTTCCTTTTCTTTCTTGTTCAGCTTTTTACATTTTGCCTACAAAAAGCATCGTACAGTTCTTCCCCAATGACACGGAATAAAGATTGAGCTTTATGTGTGTCAAAAGTGAAGGTGCAGCCTTTGTTCTGTGTTCAGAATCAGTTTGTGTTCTCTTGGGGTGTGTGTGTGTCTAGAGAGAATAGGCTCTTTATTTCTGTTTGTTGCTCGCAGACATGCTGGAGCCCATTCAAGCTTTTCCCTGTGGAGTCTAGCTGCATTCGGGTGACCAAGAGAAGCTAAATGGTCACCAGTGACATCGCTTGACGTGATGTGTGTTGTGATTTGAAAGACACCCCACAGAGTTCTCTGTAGTGCATCACCTGCTTTTAATTCAGCCCAGAATATTCACTTCAGTTCCTTTTAGAGACCCATGTCCGTTACAGAAACAACGTTTTGGAGAGGTTGCTGTGGTACAGTCAGAACAATCTTGAGGAATTTAATTTTATTGGGGCCATACAGTGATCTAGTACCTTACACAATACTCTGAAATCTCTTCATTCCCAGCATGGTTTAAGGAAAGTTTGTGTTGTCACTGTTCCAGTACTGACAGCACTTCCCTTCTCTCTATTGCAGATGTAAATTCTTCAGCTTGACGGAGACACCAGAAGACTACACCATTATTGTGGATGAGGAGGGATATAAAGGTAAGTGTTTATCTTCCACTTATCAAAAGGAACAAGATGTCTCCCATATTTATGTTCTTCAGTCACATTTAGGTTTAACTCATGCTGGAAATAGAATGTGTTTCCTTGGAAGTTGTTCCTTTTGTCATGTGACCTGGAGAGGTCATCTGTTGCTTTAAGAGGTTTGTGACCAGATTGATGTATTCCTGAATCTACTGTTCTGGTCTTGTTTGTCCAGCTGCTCATGGGGCTGGGCTGAGGCCTCCTCATTGCCTCACTCCTGGTTTCCTCAGCTCTAAATAGTAGACCCCATGCCTCCCCATCGGCGACCGTCACGTACAGCCTCCTGGGTGAGGAACTGGACTGCTCTGCCTCGGTCTCCCCTCCCTTAATCAGCACACGGCTCAGCCTCAAGCCTCAATCGTCTCAGATTTATTCACTAGTCCTTCAGCTCCAACTGCCAAAGTAAACTCGAACAAGGGACTTAATGCCTTAGGACGTTTCACCGTCTGGACAGTGTCTCTGCTTAAGTCACGCAGCCCAACACCCCCAGTACATTATCCAGTGTGTCAACAGAAGGCCACACTGCCCAGTACCCCTGCTGTCACTGCAGGGGCTCTGAGTTAAGAGCTTTAGCGCTGTGGGTGAGTGAATCACTGCCATTACAGGTCGGTTGCCAGGGGACCCTCATTGGTCACCATGACTACTAGGAAGCCCTGTGTTGCAAAACAGGTGCAGGTACATTGAGCAGCCAGGAAGCTTAATTTTTTTTTTTTCCTGGGAATCATTTACGTAATCAGGAGAAACTCTTAGCTTATACTGAAACATACCAGGGCTGGTAAACGCAGTAACAAGCAGCCTGTCTCAGTTATAGTTATTAAATTGTGTGTGTAACATTTCCACACTCTTTTTTTACGAGGGGTTAGTCTGTTAAAAGACAGGATGTTCTTCAACCGGTGCAGTTTTTTCATGAAAATAGTGGAGAAAGCTAAGGGATATCATCGAGTTCAGATGTTCAGAAACCATGGCTTAAAATCAGACATGTTAATGAAGCTCCCAGAGAAAGTCTCGACACCCTTGCCAAAGTAATGCATTTTGTGGCCTAAAAATGCACAGGTGGGACATTACACTGTGTAAATAAAGGTAAGATATATTCTGATTTAATGCGTCTTATTCAGTGAAAAACTGCACCACCAGGTTAATATGAATGTTGGTGCGAAGGTTCAGAATGCGTCAGGAGTCGGCAGGTGTCCTTCTGTGGGGAGCTTTTGTGTTCCAGCCTGGTAGCACCCCTGGCCATCAGTGCCCATGCGGAGGGCAGGACCCTGTGGTCTCTCCAGGTGCCAGGGTGGTGGACGCTAAAGAACCCTTCCTCTTTCCAGAGCTGCCCCAGTCCGAGTTCCTCAGCGTGGCCGAGGCCACATGGGTGGCGCTGAACGTGGTCTCTGGGGGAGGCAGCGCCTCGAGCTCCCAGCCGATCGGAGTCACCAAAATCGCTAAGTCGGTGATCGCACCCCTGGCTGACCACAACATCTCCGTGTTCATGCTGTCCACCTACCAGACGGACTTCATACTGGTGAGCACGCCACCACGCCTCTCAGTGCGCAGACTGGCCACCCTGTGCCAGCACGTGTGTTGTAAACAGCCGAGGTGAATGGATATGTAACAGATTAACTCTGCATTATGATGGTACCAAATCCAGAACTTTACTGCTCTTATTAATGTGCAGGAGGAGTGCACACTGTTGGGTAATCCATACTAGTTACTATATTCTGGGAATGTGAGTGCACACAGTGCCTTGTAAAAGTGTTTACCTCTTCCAGCGTTTACAGAGCTACATAATCTACTCCTGGCGGGACAGTGGCGCAGTAGTTAACATTGCTGCCTTGCAGCGTGGTGGCCCTGGGATCGATTCCTGGGGTGCTGTCGGCATGGCATTGGAATGCTCTCTCTGAGAGGAAACTGGTGCACCCAGAGGAAACCCAGGACACAGAGTTCAAAGAATAGTGGTGGGTTAATTGGCTTCTGGGTAAATTACTCCTGGTGTGTGTGTCTGTCAGTATGTGCCCTCTGATCGACTGGCGTTCTGTCCAGGGTGTATCCCACCCTGTGCCTTTTGCTTCCTGGGATTGGTTTTGGCTCACTTTGACTTTTGAATTTGAATTGGCTAAAGCTGTCAGAAAATGGATGGATGTATAATCGACTCCAGACTCATAAAGATGAAAGAATGCTGATAGTATGCAAATGTCGTATTTTCAAAGACTTAAATATGATTCCTAATTGTATAAATATTCATTCCAATTATTTCAGCAACCCTGAATCAGTTCAGGTGCAAAAGATTAGCTTGAAAAAATTAGTGTAGGCTGTGTGTGGGTGATCAAGGAGGTGTAACATTCGCACAAATGCATCTGTTTCTGCAAGGCCACACAGATGGGTGTTTAATAAATCACAACTTACACAGTGTTACGACAAACCAACCATGAAGACCTAAGGAGCTTTGGAATAAACCTTCAGTGGTAAAGTGGTTGTGAGGCACAGATAAGAGAGAGGTTACAAGAAAACTCCAAGGTCTTGATGACTTGATTACAGCAAGGTCCATCAGAAAGACGTGGGATGTCCTAATGAGATGAGGCCAGCTTTTTTTAAACTGAGCAGCTGGACAAGCAGGAAACTGGTTAGAGATGCAGCTGTGAAACCAACATTGCCTTTGAAACACGTGTAAAACTGTGCATTGACACGGTCCTGGTCCCCACACAACACTGGCCTGTATGAGTAACAAGCAAGAAGCCATTATTGAACAAGAATCATCTCACATCTAGTGTGGAGTTTGTGACGGAACATGTAAGTGATACTGCCCACGTGTGAGATAAATTCACCTGGTTTTGTGGACTGATCAAAGTCTTCTCAAAGTGCTGACCGATACGTCTGGCATTGGTGCCCATGAGTCCAACACGGCACTTCTGCCAGTCGGTACCAACCCAGCTGGAGCGTCTCAGTCAGCAGGATCCGGGAAGCTCGTGAGGTGTGGGGCAAGACTGGATGGCAAAAAGCACAGGCGAATCCTAAAGGCGAATTTCTAAACCTTTAATTGTTATAATTTTGAGAAAATTGGGAATATTTGCATTTTTTAATTTTAATTTTAATTTAAAATAATCTTCATGTTTTTCAAAAGCATGTGATAGGGGTTGAAAGCTTTTGAAACCCCTATCGCCCCCTATCACTGATGCCACCTACCTATTAGTGGGTGTATGTGGTGAAAGCTTTATATATTGTTGAAGCCTGGCCTGACTGACAGTCTTCCTTCCCCACACAAACCCACCGGTCAGGCATGCGACTGTCCTGTTCAGATTGTCCCGCTTCAGCCACTGTCAGTCCGCAGAGGGAGGGGATGCAAACTGTAGAAAGAGCCTGGAATTGAAAACAAAATGTTCAGTTGATGTGCTTACATAAGGCGGATCAGCCCCGGATCAGTCGTTAATTCTTGCTGGAATTTGCTGTAACTTTCATGGCTGTGTTAATACTCCAGGCCAGCTGCTCCTGGCCACAGAACAAGTCCCGAGCAGGCTTTTTAGAAACAGATGAGGAAATAACCTGCAGAGGTTATTTAGAGAAATGACTTAGAGGACTCTCAGACTGGGGGGCTGTTGGGAGTTGCAAACTGTGGAGCTTATCCTAAACTCTGATTAAGATTTAGATCTTTAAATAAAATTAAAATTTTAGTGTTGCGTGTTCTGCGAGAAGGTATTTCAAATCAAGTTCCATTTACATCCATCTATTTTCTCACCACTTCTTCAAGTTCAGAGTCATGGGGGAGTCGGAGCCTGTCCCAGCGGGCAGTGAGCACAGGGCAGGGCACACCCTGGATGGTACACCAGGCCATTGCAGGGCAGAAACGGACACACTCAAACCAGGGCTGATTTTTCAAGAAATCGGTTCAAATGCCAGTATGTCACTGGACTGTGAGAGGAAACTGGAGCACCCAAAGAAAATACATGCTAACACAGACTCCACACAGACAGCACTACAGTTCTGCAAGGCAGCAATACTAACAAGTTTGTCACCATGCAGCCTGTTTCTTGTACAGAACAGTCTTTTACACAGACTGGTGGCACTGGTGGCGGTCTAGTTCAGCATTCAACTTCAACTCGAATCTGTTCGGAGCCTCCACTCGAAGCAGCGTCATTTCTTGCCAAAGAGATGATTGACAGGGGGCTGTTCATGGGCCCACAGGCCAGGAATTGAAAAACAGTAGCTTAGAAGTAAACAGGGCTGAGGCCAAAAGAAAGTGATGACCTCAAAGTGTCTGTCTGTCTTCCGCAGGTTCGAGAACGGGACCTGCCCCTGGTCATGCACACCCTGTCCTCCGAGTTCACTCTGCTCAGGGTGGTCAATGGGGAGACTGTGGCAGCCAACAGTCTGGGGGTCACCAATGGCTTTGTCAAGCCCAAAATGGGTAGGTTCTTGTCTGACCTGACAAGTTCATTAGAGTCTGTAGACACCTGTACATAACCATCCTTCATCAGCTGTGTGTCGTGTCGTAAGTACCCTTTGAATGTAGGAAAGGAAGCAAGTGAGAGGAGCTGATTTGGTTTCGGCTGCTGTTTTGTGTTGCAGCAGCAGGACTTTTAACTGGCAAGGTGTGGTCAGTTTTGAGTTTGAATGCATGTCCTCTAACAGTCTGCATTTGTGACCTTTTTTTAGTTTTTCCATTGTTGAGGTTGAACTACTCCCTGGGTTTGGGTATTAAAAATTTAAATCTGTTCTGATCAAGGCTAGAGCCACTTGCTGTGGCAGCTTTTTGAATCGATTCCTAACTCACTAGCCTCGGAAATCACTGCAAACATCTTAAAGGGAGAGCTCTTCTTGTCAAGCTTATTGCTCTTCATTGACTTCTAACATTGCTCATGGGTTTACAAAGCATTTCCTAGAGAGTCTGCATTTAATGTAAAATAGAAAAATTCCATAGAACACTGCTATTGCAGCTGATTCAAAGCACATACATTCATTTTAACCTGATTAAATTATTGGAAAAATTCCTTGGTTAATACACAAAGAAATTGGTGCACCAGCTTTCTTTCCAGTGAAATTTTAATTCCACATGGCACGTGATTCAAATAATCAAGTGTCCATTTCACGCAGCTGTAGCCTTAGTAGCCTTAGCAGCTGGGATGCCTGTGCTGTGAGATGTTTCCTTAAGTATTTGCAAACCAGCCTCTTGTATGGAATTGTCATCTGAGGTGTTAAATTTCCAGAGTGGAGGAGATGCTAGTTGTGTGCCTGGCATATTAATTTAGTGACTCTTATCAAGGTCTCCTCTTGTTACAAGGAAGCCTGGCCTTGAGACTTCAGTTTGTGATAAGGTGCCAATCAGGCAAAAATTGTTGCCATCTATCTTGAAGATCTTGGCACTCGTCCCTCAGTAAATTTATGACCATGTGTTCAGAAGTGAGACTTGCTGGGCAGATATTTCAGGAAGTACAGTTCAGACCTGTTCTTCAAGGTTGGCTCTGAATACTACGCCTAGTTTTTTATTGCATCATAAGGACCAAATCTGTAAAAGGAATGAAGATAATGCTGGTTGGAGCCCTAAGGAAAGGCATGTTCCCAGTCCAGTTCCCACTAACCACTTTCGGCCCTGACCTGAAGCCTCTGTCTCCTCTGCAGTCCAGAGGCCCATCATCCACCCCCTCTCCAGCCCCAGCAACATGTTCTGCGTCACCAGCCTGGACCCCGACACCCTGCCTTCAGTGGCCACTCTGCTAATGGATGTCATGTTCTATTCCAGTGGGTAAGTGTTTCTTCAAAGTGCCCAATCCTAAACAAGTCCCACTCTGGAGGAATGTCAGTGGTCGGTAGGACCTCCCCTTGGTGAATTCCCATTGCTGAGCTTTCAGGGGATCTGAGGTTTGTAGCGGCCTGTGTTGTCGAGAGAGCAGCTCAGACCATTGCACTGGCACCCCCTTGTCCACCGGGTTTCCTGTGTGACTGAGGATCTACAGCTGCAGCACATCAAAAAGATGCGAAAACACCTCTTGTCAGGGCCTGATGCAGACTGTCACACAGAAGGCAGATGTTTGCACTTACGGAATGGCTGCAGGGAAAATCCAAACCATATAACTAATGCAAAGATGATTTCTGTATTGGTTTGAGAAGGGGCTGCTCAGTTTAATACAACAGGGCGTTCCGTGAGGCTGATCTTAACACTAATCCACAGATAGAGGCTCCTTCAAAAATGACAACATTGTATTGCAGCACGAAGGAGCCTGGTGCCACCGGCGAAGACTCCGGACACATCCGCTTCTTTTCCTTCTCTCTGATTGAGGGTTACGTCTCGCTGGTGATGGACGAGCAGACAACACAGAGGTAGGCAGCCGCAATTCATTAGCCTTTAGAAGAGCCATCAGTCTCCGCGTCCTCCACAAACACTCAAGACAGCATCCTGCTGGCTTCATAGAATGTGGATTACTTGGGTATTGATAGAATAGATATTGATACAGAATGACCCAGGTCCAATGTCTGCGGGTTAGAAATGTCCACTCCTCAAGAATTGACCAAGTCTCAATATATGGACACACAGGGACTGGGTTGTTGACATGAGGTCGAATCTGCATGTACTGTATATTGAAATTGCTAAGAAGTGATATTCTTGCAGAATTAGTATTTTTGGAAATTGACATCGAAAGCTGGCAGAAGATTTTGGGAGACAGTAAACTAGAAGAACTACCAGCAGTGTCTGAAGATCCCTGGTGTTAAAAACCCAGCACTCGTGATGGAAACGTCAGAGCAGAAATGACATTTAAACCAGCATCTAGCAGATGAATGACCACTAAACCATGACCTAGAGTTTTTCAACATGACTGTTTCAAATGGGAGTGACCCCATTCAGTTGGTCTCAAGTTTTCAGTTAGATCAAAGAAATCCACTTTCCGGTCAGTAATTAACGTGCAATGAATTAGAGCCTTGCTGATTGATTGGATATTAAAAAGAGCAAATCTAGTCTAAGATCAGCTAAGTCTAAGAGATGGCCCAAGTTTGTTTTGTGAAGGCATCACAGAGAACTATGGCCTAGAGTCCTCAGTTGAATACGGACACCAATGGGTTCAGATAGCACAAACATCACAGTGAGAATTATTAACCACAGTGGCACCAGGACCCATGTGGGAAATGATCATCTGTGCAAAACCTCCAGGCAGCTGCACCGCTTGTGCAACCTGCTCTGTTTAGGGAAATGGAAGCAAATTATTTAGATGAGAAGACAGATCACTTGGTTTTGTAGGTCTTGCCTCAATCAGTAGCTCACTGAAAAGTGCCGGCGCAGGTCTTGCCTCAATCAGTAGCTCACTGAAAAGTGCCGGCGCTGCCCACATCTGATGTCAGCTCAGAACCAAACGGGGCCCAACACAAGCCCGAAGGCGGAGCTGTCCTGTGGTGTAATGCATCTCTCTCTTGCCTCTCCTGTCAAGGTTTCCCAATAACGTGCTCTTCACTAGTGCCTCCGGGGAGCTGTGGAAGATGGTCCGGATTGGAGGGCAGCCGCTGGGATTTGGTTAGTGCTGGAGGGTGGGGCTAGCTAGAGGATGTATGAGTCCGAGGCCAGTACTACAGTACAACATGCTCCGATGTTGTAACAGGGCTTTTTACCATCAGCTTATAATACTTTTCTGGTCTATCAAAGGGACTGACATAGGCCACTGATCAGGACTTAGATGGACCTGAGTACCGGTAGACTCTCAACACATTGAGCTGCAAATGCAGGGAACCTTATGTTAGGGATACTGTTTAACTGTTACTATTCGTAGAGAATTATAATACCAGATAAGTACCAGATGCAGAGCAAGCATGTGTGATGTTCCTCATTCGTGCAATTTCTTCTCCTGCAGATGAGTGCGGTATTGTGGCTCAGATATCTGAACCGCTGGCCACAGCAGACATTCCAGCCTACTACATCAGCACCTTCAAGTTTGACCACGCTCTGGTGAGTACGTCGCTGTTGCACCGACTGAAACAATTCCAGTGGGACCTGTTCCATTGTGCTCCCTGTCTCTTCAAAGTAAACTGCCATTGACGAGACCAAATCTAGAAAAAAAATGCACAATCCATTTAATGGAACAAGTAAAGGCTCATTCCATGCTGAAAAGAGAGGAAAAGAAACAACATTTCGTCTGTGAGGCCTTTACACCTGAAGAAGACTCTAAGTTGTGTTTCTTTTCTTCTCTTTTTTTAGCATGGAATAAACTTTACTTGTTCCTTCCCAGCCTACGCATGCTGACGCAGCTACCTACTTGAACTAACCCATTTAATGACTGTACAAACAGAACTGAACAGAATTCTCTACTTTTCCCTTTGATGTAACTTTTACAAAGTTATCTCCATTCTAATCTTCTAATCTTTTGAAGTGACTTGCACTTCAAATCGACAACCACTTGTTTCATCAGACTTCAAACTGTGGTTCTTATCAAGCAAGAGTTGGGTTTCCCAGCAAGTGATGGATATTTGAGCACATGAGATAGTCCACCAAAAAGTCACGTGCTCTTTGCTGAAACATTGCTTTCTGTAGCTTTATAAAGACTCAGCACAGGCATGAATGTGATTCTAGCAAAGCCGTGAAGTGTCTTGAGCCAACCACATGCAGACCAAATGATTCTTTATTTTCTTATTTCTCAATTCTCCATTGAGATGATGTTGAGCTGTAAAGGATTATTGCTCGTCACAGTCTCAAATGCTACTTTGGTCAAAGTTTTCCTATTCTATATTCTATACTGATAGTATGTAAAAGCCAGGTTTTTAGAGCCATAAATAAGAATCTTATTTACATAACGGTTCAATCCATTTGTTTCGGCAACCCTGAATCGGTTCAGGTGCAGAAGATTAGCTTGACAAAGTGGGCTTGATTAGGAAATGGTGAGAGATGGTACTCTAACATGTACACGGCTGTTATGCAAGGCAAGTGAAATAATGAAATAGGCGCTCCATGAATAGATGTAGGAGGTGCTGTCTGTCTGCTGATCACGCTGTCTCACCCTGGAACTCCCCCTCTGCCCCCCCCGTTTGCCACCCCAGGTCCCAGAGGAGAACATCCAGAGTGTGATTGGAGCCTTGCGGACCAATGAGAGCGCAGCGCAGTGAAGCGGGAGCAGTGCGTGATGGGAGGACGGGGCGGGGAGGTGGGGCTCGGCTCTTGGCTGGCGCCGACCCCCGTCCTTAATTCTCCGGAGAGCTCCGAACTCTTCACGTGCCAAGAGCCACAGCAAGAGGACTGCTGGGAGAGGGGAGAAGGGGGACCAGGGACTTTTTTTTTTTTGGACTGGGGTGGAAAAATAACTGGGAGGCGGGGAGGGGAGGGGAGCCTCTCCCCAGCTTTGAGCCCCCAAACTCCCCTGCCCTGTTTCCTGATTTGTCAAAGACTGTGCCAACACACACCCCCCTTTCCCGCCACCACCACCACCGTACTGGCACCTCTGGAGGGATCCCCGGCTGGCGTGACGGCGGCCCGGTTTTCTCTTGCGCTGTCGCACTCCCTGCTCTCTTTGCACACCCTGTCACCACGGCAACGAGGCCTACTCAGGCCTGGGCCCTCATCTGCCGCCAGTCCCACCCTTCTCCGTGTGCTGCGCTTGAGGCCCTCGGCTGACAGCTGGCCTGAGCTTATGGGTGTGCTGGAACGATTTGCTAGGAGGGTTATTTTTATATATATACCGTATATATATTTACTTCTATTACTAGGCTCCTTTTCCCTAAGTGGGAACAGTTGGATGGCTTACACGTTGCCACACTCATTCTAAGAAGTATTTTATTCTTCGTTCAATCGCCATGGTTCCCGTTTTTTTTTTCCTCCTTTCTTGGTGCCACGATCCCCTCCTTTTCCAGGAAGGGCTCCAGGCCTAAACTGATGCCTTGATAAAATGTCAGTATGTTCAGTATTTATGTTGTGGGGGGAGTAGAACAGAGCTGCGTTCACGCAGGGGCGCGGTGTGGTGTGAATTTGAAGAGCTGGAGTACTGTCTGTAAATTAGGTTCTTATCAATGGCAGCTGGCCTCTAAGATCACACAACATGGTTCGCTACTGTCCTTTAATATTCATTTATACAGAGATGGGATTAGCCTCTTCTGTAAGGAATTAGTTATATTCTATTCTATGATCTAGGTTTGAAAGAGACTGATTGCCAAGACTGTTAGGACAACACTTTATGCTTCAAGAACCAACTTTAGTAACATTAAATGGCAAGCAAATTGCTAGAAAGTGGAGATTGACTAAATGGCATTTTCCTTGTTCTCGCGTTCTTGACAGCAGTGTGCATTCGGTCTCTTGAATATCCAGGGCTGCTTGACCTGGGTACGGTGCTTGTGCACCAGGCTTTTCAGGCCTCGTCCCAGGACGGACAGAAAACCTGTCTGCAGCAGAGTACCCGACAGTGAGCTGACTTCCTGTGAACATGGGTCTTGAATTCCACGCATGAGCTTCAGATCAGTCCCTTCGCCTTCCAGGAGACCGAGAAGCATTGACAATTGGACTGTCCGTCAGCTATACATCACTAGTGATTTGTTTGTTTTTACTGGACAGGTTTTTTAATTCTGGGGAGCCCCAACGTGGAGATCCGTGTGGTGATTTTCCACACGTGTCTTGTTCACATGTCGCCCTTTGTTTCTTTGTGGTAAAAGACACCTCGGGGGCCACACCGCCTTATCACTGAGAAAGGCGGCCCTCTGTCTTGAGGCTGGCCGATTTCAGTGGTCCAGGCTGGAGAAAAGACCATTACTGAGAAGTAAACGCCACACCACGCCCTCTGCATTGTGACAGTCTTCACCTGAAGTGGGTTTGAAGTTCAGAGCTGGCTCGAGGAGTTTGTAAGTAGGGTGGGTGGTGGTCAGGGAGAGAATTAATGCAGCAGTGAATGCTCATTTCAAATGGGGGTGGGGGGGTGGGGTGGACAAGCACTGGCTTCTGTTTAGGCCTCCAGGCCTTATGTCTGCACTTTATGACTGGTCTACCCCTGTACAGACCTGCACATGTGAAACGAGTTTTTTTTTTCTCACCTTGAAGGAAGCTCTGGTAACAGGAGTGTTAAAATGCAGTTAAAAACGTATTCATTTTCTTTGGAGTTTTCCACGTGGTATTCATCAGTGTTAACAGAATTTGAGTATCATTTTGTCCGGGGCTTTATTTTTAACGTTTTGAGCTTGGAGTGTGTAGTTTTCAGAAACACTCTCACATCTCTCCATTCCCTGGAGCCCAACTTGGCCTCTACTTGTCATTTGGGCAGAGGCAGGAGGGAAAGTCCTCTTCAATGAAGAACGAGTGCATCTTCTTGGGGGTGTCAGTTCTAAGTTTTCAGAAGGCTGTATACAGCACTTAACCAGCCTTTTGATCCACAACATTTCCAGTGGCCTTGCTGTTTAACTTCAGTTGTGTGTGGGCTTTTTCCAAGCCCTGTAAAAAAGATAATTTTAACCCTAGATTAGTGCTTCGTTATTTAGTATAATTTCAAAGCAGGGTTTTCTCCTTTAATGTTCGATAGATAGGTGTCCAATAAGATGGAGAGGAAATATTAGAATCGGCGCTTCAGGATTTTTTACGTGTCACTACCAATGACAGAGCATCTTGTTTGGTGGAAGGGTTGGTGCTCAGAGGGTGACAGACCACCTTTCTGGTCAATGTGACTTTTTATTTCACTATAGCTATTGTATTATTTCAAGTGCAGCTGGGACTTAACTTCAGCCTGCTTGATGAGGGCAGTATCTTGTCTCTCGGAGTCTCCTTGTCTCATGGAGAGTGCATACAGGCTGTCGTCCAACACAGTCACTGGCACAACCGGAATTTGCCAAATGTACCCAAACCAGTGTAATTAGCATCTACAGATAGATTATGGATTATGGAGCAACATGGGTGCAAAGCTTTGGAAAGTTTATTCTAACAATAGGGTTTGGCTTCTGTTCTCAGTCGGTAGTTTGTGGTGATGGATCTTTAACTGCGTTGCAGGCTCTTTCTGCTCCCCTAGTAAAGCCAGCAGGAGCGGTCTTCATGATTCTCTTTCCCCATGGAGCTGGGTAACTTCAGGAACCTTCCCGCAGGGCTTTGACCTCAACCCTGCTCTCCCGAGTGGCGTTTTGGGAGCTCGGTGACACAGCAGATCCATTTCTCTGGTCGGTGTGCTTTGTGTTCTCCCTCGTCTCCGGTTCCGGGTCTCTCGATTGGCCTGGGTAAACGTTGCTCTGTAGCCCGCTGAAGCGAGCCGGCCTGCAGCTAGTGCGCAGGGGACAGCTGTGTCTTGTGGATGGAATTCCATCAGCGGAGTCGCTTTTGCACTGGCGCCGCAGCGCTGCACTGTTGCACTGTGCTCGCGAGTGGCCACACAGCAGCGCAGACCGCTGTTTTGGAGCTGTGGCTGCCATCCTTAGATTTTTCACCTTCACCGACATCATAAAAACTTGAGACCTTGAAAGGCTGCATCACATACTAGGGGGTTACTTGCTGGTGTGTATCCACGCCCTGGAGCAGATCTGTACAGGAGCTGGCACACGCAGACAGCGCTGTGGTCCAGTCTTTCTGCTACGCCCCTGTTACCAGGGAAACCTCCTGATGCCTTGCTGTGCATTTCTGCCCCCACACAGGCCTCTGTGAGGTGCTTGGATCAGACTGATGCCACATAGCTTCTTTTTTTTTAGGAGACAACTCTATTATCCTTGCTCCAGATGGAAAGGAGGTTAACATGATGGCTGAGATACCCCTCTGGCTCCTCCAGTGCAGTACTTTTATGCAACCAGATCTTTAATTGCTAAGTGGATCCTGCTAATTATCAAGTCATTGAGGAGTTGGTTGTAGGAAAAGTGTGCAGTGGATTGGAAGGGCCACGTCTTAAGCCTTTCTCTGCACACAGTTCTCATTTTGCCAGCGTTTCTTGTGTTTGTATTTATCAGCATTCAGTGTTTCACCATTCATGAAACAAATCAAACTGTGACCTGTTGGGATTTCTGTCTTTTTCGGTCCAATTGAACTGGAGTCAGCAACTCTAAAATCTTTAAAGTCCTTAATTAAGGGACGTGAGTGATTCAGAGCTTAGCTGGAATGAAGACTAGTAGGCTCTGCAGCGCCACAGATCCAGAGTTACTAATGCACAAATGCAAATGTGACTAGAACCAGATGCCAGTGAAAAGCAATAAGTCATTAACTAGTCCCTCCGTCGCAAATGGCAGTCTTGGATGTTAGACTGAAATGGAGAGTCTGTGTGGTTTAGCTTTTGGAGGAAGATGGGTGAAGCGTCACTGATGAAGAATACTGTCACGAGCTGAAGCTGATGAGGTCTCGGCTCATGAAAAACAAAGCATGTCCTTGGATTTATCTCCCACCTTTAGTTAATTATTAATATGAAAAATGAGATTTGATTGGCCATTATTTGGATACCAGCAACTTCATCACCAGTCTATATCTCACGCAGATAGAGCCAACATAGAGTTCTACACATTTTGGCAAATTGGCAATTATGCTGTCCACGCCCTCTGTTTAGGTGGCTATGCAGTGTTTTCTTTCCCTGTTTGGTATACTGTTGTGGCTATGACATGCTATAGATTAGGGGTCTCCAACCCTGGTCCTGTGGAACTTCAGTCCACATAGTCTTACATGACAACCAAAATCACCTTTTCAAACATTATGGACGCTTGTAAGTGATCGATCAATTAAGCAAATTATGCTTAAATGAAGTAAATGTCAAGGTTTTAAATTGATGAGTGACCTGTAAAAGATCTAGGCCTGGAGACCCCATTCTGCTATGAACTGGACCCGGTATAAAATATGCAAAGCTCACTGTAATACACTGATCGGGGTGCAAAGCGGAGGCCAGCATGTACAGAGCTGCTGAAGGGTGAAAAAACAGATTTACTGGTGACGGTAAACGGCCCACATGGGCTGTTCTTGCAGAATAAAATATCCCCGATATGTCAGTGCAGCAGTGTAATCCAGGGTCAGAGTGTGTTCAGCTCTGGAACGATTTTGCTTTTTTACTGGAGATGTTATAGCTGTATGGCCAGTTTAAGTTAATCCAATTTGATACATTTCTGTATAGATGGTTATCATTGGGTCCTAATGGCCACTTTTGTTGTTTGCTTTCCCTGTATTCATCTGAATTTTGTTCTTAATGATCAGTGATCAGTCACGAAGGGCAGGTGGTATTTGAATGTAAAGTCCTCCCATAAATTGTACCAAATAGGTTCTGGGCAGGCTGCAGCATTTGGCTTCAACTAAGGCAAAACACCCTGTAGTTCTGTAGCTGAAGGCTTGATGCTAAATGCTGCCTAGCCCTGCTGTTCTTACAGGTGTGTAATGACAGCAGGTCTCTGAGCACTGATGCACACGTAGTGTTGCTGCTAGATACTGAATGTACATTGAGAACAGCTCTCCCCTGTCGAAAGGTTCCAGATTTTATCCTCAATGGTACCTGCCTTGTGATATCTGAGCGAGTGGGAGGTGGGGAGGGTTGTTGATGTTTTCTGATTTTTTTTTTAAACCTGTTATTTTTTTGGGGGGGCTGAGTGTGTGTGTGTGTGGGGGGGGGGGATGGTTCCACCCGATTGTTAGACTCTGTAATTTTCCGATCCAGCAATAGCAGCATTGCAGAGATTATGAGTGTGGATCATTCCAGCGAATGAAAAACATTGTGGCAAAGAAAAATAAAAAAATAATGATTAAACCCGTTTGTGAGCCTTGTGCTTTTGTAACTTGTTCCACTTTATCAGCTGCCTTAGTTTGGGTTCGTGCAGAGCAAGGCTGCTGGATTCCCTGTCCTGTTTTTCCTACCTCAGCCAGCTGCCCATCCTCTCCCTTGACCTGGAAACAAGGAGGCTGAGGTGCTGGTGATCGAGGTAGAACACAAGAATCACAATGTACGTCACCAGATTGAGGTCAGAGCTTTTGAAGTCCTATTTGGCAGGAAAGAAAGTGTCCTGGCACACCTACAATGTTGAGTGTGCCAGTAATGAGTAGAGATCTGGTTAACAATTTGATTTCAGTCTTGGATTTCATTTGTAAAACATAATGACCTTATTCTATTTTATGGTAATTAGACTTCCAGAAGCAGTCCAGGTGCAACTGTACAAAAGAGGACCCTTGAATGTCAGTGGAGTTTGCAATAGTCAGTCTTATTTAAAAACTAACCATCATGACAAAGTATTTTGGTTTTAAGACCGATGGTGGCTCAGTATTACATGTCCTTACTTGGTTTAGCTGATGGCTTTCATAAATTTTACTGTGGGCATAGATGTAAAGATGTAACTATAAATCACAGAGCAACAGCACTAAGTCAGTTTGAACAGAGACCAGCAAGATAAAGACCGCCACCCTCTGCATTGCTATTGAACAGGTAAACAAGACTGCAGAATTTTACTGCTATCACAAGTCAAAGGCCAATGAGAAAGAGGGAATTCCTCAGAGCCCTGCCATAACACTTTCATAACCTCTTTCATGAAGGGCCATTAGTCTATTGAACATTATGAATTTGGTAGATTCTTTCTTTAATGCAAAACCACTTGCATTCATACACCTTTAAATAGCTTGACATGTTATCAAATAAGTTTGCCTTGTTCATGGGTCCAACAGCATTGCTCCACCTTCGAACCCTGCAACCCTCTGGCCTTGTTGCATTGCTTGCTTACCCAAATAAGGATCGCGGAGTCACATGTCACATTAGTATTTATTGAGGATTGAAAAAAACATCTTTGAAATTGAAAGGCAGGACAGCTTCTTCCTCCAGCCAGGTTGAGCGCGATTCAGTTCCCACTGTGACGTTTACGATGTCTCGCGATCAAGCTGAATGCCGCTTTGTAAGAGCTCCAGAAAAAAACCTGAGCTGAAATCTGCCTTTGTTTTTTTTCCCCATTAGATGGAGGGGCCAGCCCAGGCTAAAACACTTCGACCCCTCCTCCTCGTTTAAATCCTAAACGTTGAGTGTCCTCTTCTGTCTCTGGGTTGCAGGAGGTGTAAGGGTGCCAGAAGCCACCCCCCCCCCGGTGGGTGAGACGATAATGGCAGGTCGAGGAAAAGGCAGGCAAGCAAATCACGACAGCGACTTCACCAAGGCTACCATGTGATCCACGCCGCAGGCCACATCAACCACATGGCCGGGTACTGTCACCTGCAACACCACAGTGCGATGCGGTCATCATCATCATCATCATCGTTTAAACCCGGGTAAGTCCAACCAGAGCTCCCTGCCTGGGCACCGATCCCAGCTGGTGCCCCCCTCCCCCCTGAACCACAGCAAGCTCGTGCCAGCCTGCTGTGGCTGCGCTGTGTCTTTCACAACCGCAGAATGGCCACAGGTCTCCCACAGGTCTCCCCCAGGTGATGATAAGGCCCTTCTGGGATAGAGTCCCCCAGGTGAAGCCCAAACCACAAACCCCAAAACCAAACCTTCACCGGACCTCCCCACCTGGTAGGTGCAAGTGGTCAGACGGCCACACTGCTCCCACGATTTCAATACAGTGGGCAGCGAGTGTTGAGTTTAAAAAAACGGGATTAGAAACAAGGGAAGATATGGCTGGTTTAACATAGCTTTTTACTTTCCGGGGCTCATGGGAGCAGGAGGTGTCCCTGTTTCTTACCCGCCATGGGAAGTACTGGTCATCTCTCTTCCCGATGCCCAGACACCCTCTCACATTCTTGCCCCAGACGAAGAGCTCTCCCCGATCTGCAACACAAGGACGTGCGGCTCTCTTATAGGCATCCAGTAATGACCATTCCGTTTCCTGCGTTGTTTGGATCAGCTGATCTAAGCAGGATACGCTAATTTGACGTTGTGATTTTTTTCTATGTGGGCAGCACAGAGGCACAGTGGCGAGCATTGCTGCTGTGCAGCGCTGGGGTCCAGGGTTCAATTCCTGGGGTGCTGTCTGGGTGGAGTTTGTATGTTCTCCCTAAGTTTGCATAGGTTTCCTGCAGGTGCTCCAGATTTAATCCCACAATCAAAAGACTGCTGGTGGGTTAAATGGCTTCTGGAAAAATTGTCCCCAGTGTGAGTGTGTGTTTCTGTGTGTGTGCCCTGTGATGGACTGATGTCTGGAAGTCTTCAGTGGAAGCAACCATAATCAATTTTCATTCTTGTTTTGTTTTCAGGACCAACTCACTAGTGACGGAGCCATTTGGCCATTTTGTACTTATAACTCTTACCCCCCTCGAAACAACCTGAAGTATTTGCTTTGTTTTTTTTCTTGAGACCCTTACTTGTGATAGCGGCAAAGTGGTTGAGTCCACAGTGGATCTGTGCCACAGTCACCTCAGGGTTAAACTGTGTGCGTCCAAACAGCGTGGGCGGGATCATCTCTGGTGTCTTGGACTCTGATAGGTCAGGCCCCTTTCCCAGAATACCATATCCCCAAATGAACACCTCCCCCTTTTCTGAAAATTAAAGAGAAAGAAGAGTCCATAGCATCAGGCTGCCTACACACATAGGACATGTTTTTACCTTTTAGGTTCAGTAATCTCAGTAATGTACTGTTGACATAGAGCTTATGCTTAGTGACTGGACCTATGCACAGATTTCTTAGACAACTGCTCTGTCAATCCTGGCAAAATAAAAAAAAATCCAAACCAAAAAAGCAGATATATAATTAATATGAATAAATAATTATAATTTAAGAAAATGATTGTATAAGTATTCAAAACTATTGCTGTGGCAAACCTAAATTAATTTAGGTGTCACAACATTACCTTACCTAACACAATAGAGAATTAGTTGAGTGACCTCTGTCTGTGTCTAATCCTAGTGCTGACAATGATTACAGAACAAATACATCTGTCTCTGTAAGGTCCCTCAGTCAGGCAGTGAATTTCAAGCAAAGATTAAATAAATAGGACCATGGAGCTTTCAAAACAACTTGTGGATAAAATTGTCTAAAGGCACAAATTAGGAGCAGGATATAAAAACATTTTAAAAAGACTCTTAATATCTCTCTGAACATGATATATTCAATAATTAAGAAGTGCAAGGTGCCCAGACAGGCTGCGCTTCTAGACTGAACAGTGGGGCACAGAGGAACCTAGTGAGGGACGCCACCGTGTGGCCAACAGCAACACTGAAAGAGCTGGAAAGTATCCCAGTGCTTGACAACTGGGACTCGTACAGAACCCATCTCAAACTCCACACGACAGGGCATCCCGACAAAGCATGTAAGTGATACTGCAAACTGGTAGCAAAGGGCTCCCAGCAAAGGCCATGCTTGTATGAGAGGGAGCAGCGCCTCGCCTCACCATTGAGTACTGCCACCTGGGTCCCTCCGCAGGCTGCCTGCTGTACCTGCCCCACCCCGGGCAGGGGGAGGCGCTGTGGAGCGTTGATCTGAGGAAAAGAAAGCGGCGAAGTTAAAACGGCAGTTTTCAATCGGCCCCCTGCGAACAAACAGGCACGTTCCTGGACTTGAAGACATGTCCGACACTGACAGGTGAAAAGATGGCATCTTTTTTAGTCCAGTCAACAGTGCTAATCACTAGGTGAGCTCGTGGAAGTATTCAAAAAGACTCAAACATCTCAAAGTCCAGCCAGCAGATCCGATCAACAGCAAAACACAAACCGGAGGACACAAGCAGAAGCTAAGAACTGCGTTTAAAACTGACAACAGGAGTCGCCCCTTTACACAACGGGCTGTGAGAGTCTGGAACAAGCTGCCCAGCCGTGACTTCAAATCTGATATCTTGGATTCCTTCAAGAGCCTCAGATCAATTAGCTACTTGGAACAAAAGTTAACTATTGCTGCACTAATCTGTTGCTTAACCAGATCCATCTCTTTCGTTCCATCAGGGAGCGCGTGCTGCATGGCTTTCTGGAGCCAACTGATGACGGGGTTAACACTTACAAGAGGCTGCTGTGAGTACTGACCTTCAAATACACTGTTTTAATTCCTTTAGAGTTCGGTAATAATTCGGAACACACAATGCCTTGAAGAAGGTTGTGAGAAAAATAAAAAAAATCAGAAGAACAAAGAAAGGGCTTGCTTTGCTCTCTGGCAGCAGACTGATCTGTTTACTCAGCAGCAGAGAGCAGCTGGCTGAGATTGCTCAGTTACTCAACCCCACTTTAAGTGTGAAGACTGATAAACCCAGAGTTCCAATATGGTCTGAAAGTTGAGCAATCAGTCTTCGCAGGGACAGAGACTGGTCACCTGCCCACAGACTGCAGCTCATGTGCAGTGCTCTCTGCCTCCTGTTTGGCAAGAAGGGCAAAGGTCACTGTTGAGAATTAAAAAAAAAACTTTTTAGTCGGGGTAACAGAAGAAATCAGCAGAATGGTATCTGTTAAATCATTGCTGTCACTTCAGTGCTAAGGTAGCAAAAAATATGGTTTTGGAGATTTCAGGTGTGTTACAATGAACTGCTCAGTGGCTGCGAAGCTAATTACTTCTGGGAGAGTATTTGCATGTCTCAGCTGTTTTTGCTTTTTCCAACACAGAACAACCAAGCTCTTGTCATCTTTCTTATCCGTCCCTGCTCTCCTCCCTGTGCAGGATCACTAGTTCTTTGTAAACTCAGCCAACCCGCTATGGTGGACTCAGAAGAGATGGTGTCAAACCCCGTGTCCTCTGGCAATCTGAGTCTCTCTCTGGTCTGAAATCGTGGCTGAAGATGTATTTTTATGACACGGCCCGTCTCAATGCTTGTATTTTTCCTCCACTGCCTACAGCGATTTGGCTTTCATATAGTTACGAAAACGTTTTCAGAATAAATCTGACCTTATGAGTATTAATACATCACACCATGGGACATCCAGCTCTTGATCCGGAAGATTCAAACGAGAAATTCTGTTACGTAACCAGAAACATTCATCTGGAGGCAGATCTACTCCTGCGACTTAAACGGTGGCTCCGTCCCGGGACCCTTCATACTTGCCTGAGTGGCCTCGGTGACAGCCGAGAGCTGGAGGTACTCCGAGTTGCCCCAGCCGAAGAGCTCCCCGTCCTGGGACACAGCCAGGCTGCAGTCCCCATACGAGGTCACCTGCCTCACCCGCACCCCCTCCAGCTCCCCGCACACGCGCGCTGGCTGCGGGCTGACGGCGTGGTGCCCCAGTCCTGCCGGACATTTCAGGAAAGCTTTTGATGGATACAGATTGACCCTGCCGGGCATGAATATCTAGCAGACAGATCGCCAGGCCTTGCTGGTCCACACTTGCATCCATCCATTCAATTCAAGGTGCTTAATTGGCATGACCGTTGGGGACAATCAGTGTTGCCAAAGCAAGTAAGAATAAAATTAACATTAAACAAAAAAAATAAAATAAAATAAAATCTACAGACATTTACAACAAAGACAAATCATAAAATATTTACATATACTGTAAACATATGGAGCATTATTGGGAGACAGACTCACTGTTCCTCAGGCTTTGACAGGGGATCACATATTGGGCTGCCAGTTCAACTGAGATGGATTCAAATGAATCGACCGATTCGCTAACTGCTTTATCCACTACAGGGTCACTGGGGAGGCAGTCCATCACAGGGCTGTCCGCACACAGACACACCACGGCCAGTTTTTCCAGAAGCCAATTAACCCACCTGCATGTCTTTGGACTGTGGTGGGGAAACCGGAGCACCTGGGGGAAACTCACACAAACACGGGGAGAACATGCAGACTCCACACAGACAGCACCCCAGGTCCAGAATTGGGCCCCAGCACCAGGAGGCAACAACGCCGACCACTGCGCCACCGTGACGCCCTCAGTCAACAACTGCAGCGCACACCTCGAAAAGGGCACGCGCGGTCACAGACACTGACCTGTCTGACCATCTGCGCCCCAGCCACAGGCATGAACCTGGCCGTCTTCAGTCAGAAACAGGCTGTGATCCTGACCACAGGCCACCTGCCAGACAGGGAGACAATCCACTCTCGTTAAGATTCACCACTGAACTCAAGACAGAACTCTCCAAACCAAAAACAGGTCATTCTAATGTCCTTGAGGGTTTCATCATGCAATAGAGTTAACAGAACGACTCTGACGCCTGTATAACCGATGACAGTAACTGGGGATTTAATCGAAACTTAATAGCACCCCAGACCAGGCCCCAGGTGCCAGGTTTTGTTGGCAGGGTCGGACAGCGGGACAAAGCAGGTGCCGAAGAAGTGGGGGGGGTGCCCTTTCTGTGCTCTCCGGCAAACACAGAAGGAGCGGACTTCCAGCTGACAGTGGGGAGAACAGCGCAATTCGGATGATTGGAGATCCCAAATTTCAAACGTGCCACATAAAGACCACTTTATCTGCCCAATGGTAGAAATGACTGCGGGTTCAAGCCTGAGTCTTGTCAACAGGCCATGCTGATTCCCCAAGCAGGGGACAGAGAGAGATGAGCCAGGGCTTTCAGGGTGGGGCACGACTTGCTCACACGTGCAGGTTGGAGGAGCCTGCCTGCACTTCCTCTTTCTCCCGTGTGCGACTGCAGGGTCTGTTTCTGCGAGCCAGCGATGACACCAGAAAATCAAGTGGGTATCGCTAAAGAAAAACGTAACTGGCGAGTGCATCAAGGTTTTGCACACGTCCCATGGTCTCACAACCCCACTCACCTGGATCACTCTGCTGTCGAAGCCCTGGATCCTGTGGACCACGTGACTGCCGCTGTGTCCCAGAGGAGGGCGACACAAGCATAGACGGGTGGTTAAAGACAATCAGTATTCGGCTAAATACAGTACCACTCCAGCAGAGGCAGATTTCATTTCATCTGCTTGAAAAAAACCTTCCTTATCGTAGACTTAATCCGACAATTTGAAAAAAACAATTAAAAAAAATAGCGATTCATTATTACTCCTTTAACAGGCAGTTATCTGTCCTAAAGGTCCAACACATGGTCATGGTCACAGCCTTGACACTACAAGCTTTCCAGTGCCCTACCAGAGGGTTAGTGCCAACTGCAAGGGTGGCACGTGCCTCACAGACGTCAATACAAGCCGGCTGGTACCCAGCACGACTCCTGCCAAGAGGATGCTGGCCACCCTTCCCTGGCAGTGCACTCCCCATCCTGCACCACCACTTTATCCAACACAACGTGCACGTCTGTTCTTCCTCCCCAAGCGTCACGCTTGTTGCTGCCTCCGTCTCTGCCTTGCATGAAGCGAGAGATGTTATTGCAGTGCACCTTAGGGACATCTGTCCGCTAAGGCAAATTTGAACATCAAGTGCAGGTTTTCATACCTGTAAACTTCGTCCTGCACGACCTTCCTCCCACACTGCCCGTACGCGTTGTTCCCCAGGCTGAACACTGCGATGGGAGGGAGAACGGACCAAGGGACAACATGAGAGACCAGACTAGAGAAAAAACTTGCTGTGCAGGTCTGCCGAGTGACTCATTCAGTAAACACTACCTGGAAAAGGAAAAGGCTACATGGTGCAGTTCCTGATCCAAGCCTTATGGCAATTGCTCAGTGTATGATAGGAATGTAGCGTAGGCACTACAGCACAAACCATACTAGCCATGGTAACAATAGAGTAAAGCATTTTGATAACCATGAGAACTGGACACGGCAATGTACATCGATAGTAACAGAAAGGCGATAACTTGCAAATTTACAGACGAACCTGAGGAGATGAAAAACACATTTGTAAAAAGAACTCTACCACACGATTTCCCACAGCCTGTAAAAAGCAAGCGTGCTGGGGTGTCTTTCTTTCAACTCTTTCTTTCCGCAAAGCGTCGAAGCACAGGGCCGCGCCTCCGCTCCCAGGGTGCGCGGCTGGGGACGGCGTCCGGCGCTTACCGCCCTCGTTGTCGGTGAGGACCAGCGAGTGGGCGCGGCCGCAGGCCACCTGCAGCACCCGGGTCTCCTGCGGCCTGCGCAGGGGCAGCGCGACGGGCGAGGGCTCCAGCACGTACTCGTAGCTGCTGTCTGGGGACGGAGAGAGAAGGCACAGTCGCTCAGCGGGGGCTGACGCATCTCACCAGCCTCAGATCGGCTCTGCCCGGGTCTCACCGAGCCAGAGCTCGCCTCTACAGGACTCCAGCTACTGTGGATGTTACAGACTCATCCATTCTGATGTTCAGCATGCATGACATAAAATAAAAGACTCCTGGAAACACTTCAGAAGCACCACCCACATCACACCACAGGTGTCCAGCTATAATCCAGCAAAAGACTGGCTGGCGAAACAAAGCCTTCTCCTCCTT